CAATAGGAACACATGCTGCCGGCTCTAGGTGGCTGTGGGACCATCCTGGTTCCAGCTGCTAAGCTGGGGTTGGGGAGCAGTGTTCCCTCTAATTTTTCCCCCATCCATGTGCAGAATCAATTTTGTTATATGCACCAAGGCAAGCGCAGAGGCGCACCACCAATAGGAACACATGCTGCCGGCTCTAGGTGGCTGTGGGACCATCCTGGTTCCAGCTGCTAAGCTGGGGTTGGGGAGCAGTGTTCCCTCTAATTTTTCCCCCATCCATGTGCAGAATCAATTTTGTTATATGCACCAAGGCAAGCGCAGAGGCGCACCACCAATAGGAACACATGCTGCCGGCTCTAGGTGGCTGTGGGACCATCCTGGTTCCAGCTGCTAAGCTGGGGTTGGGGAGCAGTGTTCCCTCTAATTTTTCCCCCATCCATGTGCAGAATCAATTTTGTTATATGCACCAAGGCAAGCGCAGAGGCGCACCACCAATAGGAACACATGCTGCCGGCTCTAGGTGGCTGTGGGACCATCCTGGTTCCAGCTGCTAAGCTGGGGTTGGGGAGCAGTGTTCCCTCTAATTTTTCCCCCATCCATGTGCAGAATCAATTTTGTTATATGCACCAAGGCAAGCGATGCTTGGATTTTTACAGTGGCGCTTAACTTATACGGCAAGTTAAAAGCAGCACCTGGCTACACCAAGGCACTTTTCCCCGCACGCTGTCAGCGTCCGATTGGCCGACCTTCGCAGTACAACTAAATCCTTCCTGCTTCTGCCTCTCTGCAGAGTCGGCCCTGCTGCGGGAGAGGGAGCAGGCAGCTGGAAACTAAAGCAGGGTGGCCATTCTGAGGCTCGTGAGATGCATTCGGCTCTCTCACTGGTAACTCCCCCCCTTTTCTGCCTGTCAGAGGGGGGGCAGAGGGCGGAGCTCAGGGCTTCTGCCCTGTGGTGGGTGGTGGAGTTAGAGACTTTGCCAGAGATAGGGTCAGCAAACCCTGGCAAAAATCTGCAGGAGGTTGTTGGGGGGGGTTCAAGCCCCAAGCCCTGGCAGGCACATCCTGGCTCTTGAACTTCTAAAGATTGTCGTACGAAGCTCTGATGCTCACAGTCAATAAGTTTGGCCACCCCTGAGCTAGAGAACTATCCATGAACTGGTGAGCCAAGTTCTCCGTGCAAGGAGGAAGGACCATCCTGGTTCCAGCTGCTAAGCTAGGGCTGGGGAGCAGCGTTCCCTTTAATTTTTTCCCCATCCATGTGCAGAATCAATTTTGTTGTATGCACCAAGGCAAGCGCAGAGGCGCACCACCAATAGGAACACATGCTGCCGGCTCTAGGTGGCTGTGGGACCATCCTGGTTCCAGCTGCTAAGCTGGGGTTGGGGAGCAGTGTTCCCTCTAATTTTTCCCCCATCCATGTGCAGAATCAATTTTGTTATATGCACCAAGGCAAGCGCAGAGGCGCACCACCAATAGGAACACATGCTGCCGGCTCTAGGTGGCTGTGGGACCATCCTGGTTCCAGCTGCTAAGCTGGGGTTGGGGAGCAGTGTTCCCTCTAATTTTTCCCCCATCCATGTGCAGAATTAATTTTGTTATATGCACCAAGGCAAGCGCAGAGGCGCACCACCAATAGGAACACATGCTGCCGGCACTAGGTGGCTGTGGGTGCTCTGCTAATCAGCTGGGCCACACCTGGATCTCTCCTGGGGGCCACCCAAGTGCTCAGCTTACAGGGAATACTGCTTGGGAGACCCCTTGTCAGTTCCGGGCTCCGCCTCTCCCTGGGTAACCTTGTGTCCCTCTCCCCACCTGTGGAACTCAGATAAGAGGATTCCCCTGCCTCACAAGAGGGAGGGGAGGGTGTCTACTGAGGTGCTCAGACACTGCAGTGTTTGGGGCCGGATCAGGACCTTTTGGGGCAAATAGTAAATTCAATGAAAACATGCATTTGAGAGGGCACTGAAACTATTTGTGAATTCAGGTGAAATTCAGAGACTAGCCCAGACCCTCACGCCACACACAAAAAACCATTCCAGATGTTTTGCCTCAACCATTTTGCAACAGGTGGGTTTGACTTTTCGCTTTGCACCGTTTCATTCCAGCCATTTTGAAACGAATCGTTTCAGGTTCTCCTTTTGAAACGGCCTCGGCAGTTTAGCGACTTAGAAAAACAGGCAAAGCAAAAAATTGGTGAAAAACGCTTGAAGACCAACTGAAACAAACAAAGAAACCTGCAAAAATGGTTTAAAGTGGAACAAAAACAGTTCGTTTCAACCTGAAACAATTTCTTTTCATTTTGCTGAGGAAAAAAATCAATTTCTGTTCAAACTGACCCAGTTTATTTGTTTTTTAAAATTATTCAGCTTAGTCCCCAAACTGAATAATAAACTAGCGGCTCAGATATATTCAAGAAATTGCCCAGTGCTCAGGGGGGTTTAAAACAGAAACATTGTGAGGGTCCCCTCTTTTTTTCTCCACTCAAGGTCATCTGAGGAAGTGGCTTTTGCCCATGAAAGCTCATGCTACTAGATATATTTGTTAGTCTCTAAAGTGCTGCAGGACAACTTGCTGTTTTTAAAGTTACAGCCTAGCACAGATACCACTCTGCGGGCTGTGATTGTCTCTCAGGGCTTGTCTTCACTTACAGGGAGATCCACGCTGTGGAGATCAATCTCCCAGAGTTTGATTTAGTGGGTCTAGTAAGGACCCTCTCAATCAACCGCTGAGGGCGCCCCTTCGATTCCGCTACTCCACCGGCTCACAAGGAGTAAGGGAAGTCAACGGGAGAGTTTTTCATCGACCTCCCGCTGTGGGGACACTGGAAATTCGACCTAAGGTATGTCGACTCCAGCTATGCTATTCTCATAGCTGGAGTTGTGTATCTTAGGTTGACTTTCTCCGCAAGGGCAGACCTGCCCTTTCTGTGTGTCTGTGCAGATCCCAGCACAATGGGGCTCTGACCTTGATCAGTGCCAATAGACTCTGTCCTAATTCAGTATAAAATAGCAGCCTTCCTCATGTTCTGTCTCCCCCTCCTCCTCACAGGACTGGCTGGGGGTCTCTGCTTTGTTATCCGAACTGCTGTGTTAGCTGCATCCCTTCCTCATCCCTCCACTCGAGACAGAGGGGACAAGGGAGAGGTTTGGATTTTGGATGATGGGGGTTCAGCGCACACGGCGCTCTTAAGATAATCGCTGGCAGTGGGTATGAGTTGGAAGGGACTCCAGTTGCCAGGCTAAGTGTATGGCCCTGGCTGTTGATAAAAGCTCATCTTTGCGCTTACAGATGGAGCAAACGAGATCTGGACGCACGCTGTACAGAGTCACACTTTGGAATGGAAGCTCATGCTAAGCACAGTTGTCAAACGTGGCTGCTTGCCCTGAGTTATCAGGGCCTCTGTTTCTCTCTCCTCCCTCTTCTGAGATGTCTTTGCCTGTCCAGCTTTCTCGCCTCTCTCGGTCTGTCTCAACGGCTGACGAGCAGCCGCACTAAATGTCTCTCTCCCACCCCCTGGCCAAGAAAAGCAGGACATCCCCCCCCCAAAAAACGGTAACTGTCAATGACGGTTGTGAAATTATTTCACTACAAACCCAGGACGTCACCAGTGAAAGCGACATTCCCACCCACCTAAACTCACACCTCATCCTCCCCAAGCATCAAGCCCCCCAAATACGCCTCCCCCCATCTCAGGTCCTCAGCACACCCTGGTCCGGCCCTTGTTTATGCCTCTCCCCTCCTTCCTCTAGGCACATCCACCCACACAGCCTCCTCGGACGGATTGAGATCAGTTGTGGATTGCCTCTACCGATGTGGGAACTCATAGGGCACTACAGTTATCCCCATTGCACGGGTAGGGAAACTGAGGCATGCATGGTTAGCTCGACAAAGGGGTTTAGGCGCCGCAATGCTTCATGGTGTAATAACGTCATTGATTCAATGGGCGTTAGGTGTCTAAATACCTTTGAGAACCTGGGCCAGAGAGACCCAGTGATCCAGCCACGTGGGCGGTCGGGGACATGCAGAAAACGAAAGTCAGGTCTCCCATCTCCCGGGCAGAGCTGTCGGCTCATCCCTCCTCTCCTAGATGGGCCACACTCAAAGACCCAGTGGAAATCCGTGGAGCTTTGCCATTCGCTTCCTTGCGAGCAGGGAGGACCAGGGTTTCGTTCTGCCCGTTTGGCCACGAATTGAATGAGCATTAGGATTACGTGTGATGTGCGGGGAGTGTCTGTTCCAAGCACCCGACACCTCACGCTCTTTGCACCAGCTGCCCTGCTGGGTTCTAAGCAAACACTCCGGGCACGATGCACTGTTCTTGTCCCCAGCATCCGGGGTGCAACGCGGGGCCAGGGATTGCTTGGGCGGACACCAAGACAACTGCGGAGTCAGGCGCAAGAGACCAGTGAATAGAGAGAGGCGGGAGGGAGCCGCAGAAAGGTGTAGACAAGGGAGAAGCTTAGCAGAGCTGCTCCGTGGAGCCGTGGAGGGAGCGCGGACCTGTGCCCCGCACCGCCATCCGTCGGGCACCTCTTGGTAGCTCTGTCATAGGGCTGCACAGGCCCTTTCACCCTGCAGTTGCTGGTTTGAATCCTGCCCTAGGAGGCTGCTGGGCTTTGTCGTTCACATCTGGGGTACGTTACAAACGGTACCGCTAATGAGGCTCATCGCGGGAGGGCCTGGGCCCCTCTCCAAGACTAGCTGGACCGGGAGCTGGGGAAAATCAGGACGGCGGATAAATGTCTGCCTCACCTGGTAGAAAAAAGGAGCATCATCCCCATTGTACACATGGGGAAACTGAGGCACGGGTGTGACTTGCCTGAGGCCACCTAGGAAGCCCAGGGTAGAACTGGGACTTGACCTCAGGCCTGCTGAGCCCCAGTTGAAGGTTAGTACTTCCTCAGCAGAGACGCGAGGCGATGTGACCAATTACAGGTGTGGACGCCTTGGAGAAAGGCCAGTGGAGGACAACAAAAATGATTTGGGGGCTGGAGCGCATGACCTATGAGGAGAGACTGAGGGATTTGGGTTTGTTCAGTCTGCAGAAGACAAGAGTGAGGGGGGATCTGAGAGCAGCTTGCAACTCCCTGAAGGGGGGTACCAAAGAGGCTGGAGAGAGGCTGTTCTCAGTGGTGACAGGTGGCGGAACAAGGAGCAATGGGCTCAAGTTGCAGTGGGGGAGGTCTAGGTACACCAGACAGTATGTAACTACGGAGTGTGGGGGTGGGGCGGGATGCATATCCCCGGGGCCGGACTCGCCCGTGAGCCCTGCCAGGACCGTGCGTGGGACAGGCAGCACCCTGGGATCTGTGTGCACCCCGAGCCAGCTCCACTCCCCGCTGGCCGGTCACCCCCCCGCTCCTGCCTGGTCAGCGCCGCTTCCCGCCGGCTGGTCCCGGCCAGCCCCCCCATCTGAGATCGAGTGTGTCCAGTATTTTTTTTAAACCATGCGGTAGCCCTAAACACAGGGTTTGCAAGGGGGTGTGGACCTGCTGCTTTCTGCAGCCCTAGTACACTCAGGCCTTGCCTCCGGCCTTCAGCCTGGGAGTTTGCCTGACCAGAGCTCCCCAGCTCTCCCCGTCTCAGGAAGCCTCCTGTTCCTCAGACAGAGCACGAACGAGTCTGTCTCCACCCGCTCCAGGCGCCTCTATTTATACAGCGCTCAGCTGGGCCCTAACTGGCTCACCCTGGCTCCCTAGCTCCACCCCTCTCCTAGGGCGGGGTTTTAACCTTTAAAGGGCCAGCGTGGGGCAGACGCCCTGTCACGTGGGTCTGAGTAGCAGCGCTGGAGAGCCAGCAGGTTTCGGTGACGGCACTTTCTGGTGTCATCACCCAGGCCAGAAATACCCCGGGACTCGTCTCTTCCTCCTGGTGTTTGAGCCTGTCTCATGCTACTCCAGGTGGCCACTGGGCAGAGCACAAATGAAATGAAAAATCAGGCACTTTTTTTTTTTTTTTTGAGCCTTGAAAAAAGATTTTTGGGAGCAGGGGGGCCGGAACAATTGGTACGAGGGAGGAGGGGGAGGGCATGACAGAGCCCAGCTGTAAACCCTGTGTCTGATGGAAACCACTTCAAGCCAGGGGGTGCAGCTGCACCAACACCTCCCGTTTGGGAGGAGGTTCGGGCGAGAGCACGGGGGCGGGCTCAGTCACTCCTAAAGCCAGTGACTCTAGGCTGTGACCCATCGAAGGCTGCACAGCCCTTCCTAGGGGTCCACACCCTGAAGCTCTGTCTACACTTGGAAGGCTCCAGTGTAGACCGACCTCCGGTGCTAGGCGGGGTTCTCCAGGTAACCTCCTCGCCAGGGTGGTCACTGGAAAAATGCTTCTGTCGACATCGTGCTGGCTACACTGGGGTTAGGTTGGCGTAACTACGTCATGAGAACGGCCGTACGGGGTCAGACCAAAGGTCCATCTAGCCCAGTAGCCTGTCTGCCTACGTCACGTAAGGGGGGTGGATTTTCCAACCCCTCTCCCCCGGGCAATGTGGCTGTGCCAATGGCAGTTCCTAGTGTAGCCAGGCCTAATGGGGATGGGGGGAGGGGGCAAAGCGGACAACTGCCCCAGGGCCTGGCAATTCAGTGCCCTGGGCCCTTTAAACTGCCGCCAGAGCCCAGCACAGCGCGCTGCAGAGCCCCAGCTGGCATGCTCCGGCTGGCCCTGGGGAGGTGTGGCCTGGGGGGCTCTGAGGCCGTCTGGAGGCCCCGTGAGGGAAAGCAGCTCTGCTTTCGCTTTTTTTTTTTTGTCATGACAATTACATCGGAAAAGAAAATCAGAGATGAACGGGAGGGGACCGCAGGAACCTGTGCGAAAGAACCGTTGCCGCCTGCCTGACGCGCGCTGATGGGAGACAAATTAGATTACACGGCTGTACGCACTTTGAGTAAGGACAAATGACAGCAGCAGAGAGGGGAAGAGGAGGCCCGCCTGAAACAGCTCTGTGTGCAGAGACCTTGGCAGTCTCCTGCCCTTTCTGCAGGCTGACTGGGACAGGCCTTTTCAAACTTTTTTTTTTCCTCGTGACTCAGTTGAAGAAAATTGTTGATGCCCGCGACGCAACATAATTCTGTCTTTGGACTAGAGTGTGAGCTCTGAGGTGGGGAGGGGCCAGGAAGGAGGTTTCTGGGTGCAAGAGGTGGCTCCAGATTTGGGGGGGAAGAAACAGGAGGGTGGTGCTCATGGTTGGGCATGGGCTTTCCTTCAGGAGCTCCTGGTGAGTGGCACAGGAGGGGTGCTAGGGCAGCTTCCTGCCTCTCCTGGCCCCACAGACCCCACTAGGCCCTAGAAGCAGCCTGCAGCAAGTCCGGCTGCCAGGCAGAGACACAGAAGCAGCTCTGCACACTGCTCTCACCCACAGGCACCGCTCCCATTGGCTGGGAATTGGCCAATGGGAGTGTGGAGCCAATGCCCAGGGCGGGAGCAGCGCATGGAGCCCCGTGGTCCCTCCACCGAGGAGCCAGACCTGCTGCAAGCCGCTTCCGGGATGCCGCGAGCTCTGCAGGGCCAGGCCAGGTAGGAAGCCGCCTTAGCACCCCTACTAGCCCCTAGTTCTCCCTACAGCAAGGCGACCCGGTGCTTGATATTGTGCAACCAGTGCTGGGTCGTGACCCCTAGACTGAAAACCACTGCCCGACATCTCCATTCCAGTCAGTCCCTTATTGCACACATCAGAAGCATCGCGCTGCACAACACCACAATCCCTGTCGGCTCCCATCACAACGCTGCCCTCTAATACACACATCCTGCAAGCAATACACTCACCATAAAGCATGTTCGGGAAGACCAAGCCTTAACTAGCTGGCAATCCTGGTGGGTGGGGGTCAAGAAAAGCTCCAGGGACCCTCTGGACGCAAGGCTTGCGCCGCGTCGAAATACTCGCCCAGAGCGTTAGCCTCCCCATGACTCCCCCTCCTCTTTCTGTCTCGCCCAGGTGAAAGTGTGGTTCCAAAACAGAAGGACGAAATACAAGAGGCAGAAGCTGGAGGAGGAAGGCCCGGAGTCAGACCAGAAGAAGAAAGGTTCGCATCACATCAATAGATGGCGGATTGCCACCAAGCAGTCCAATGGGGAAGACATTGATGTTACTTCCAATGACTAGAAAAGGAGGCCGGCTGCTGGCAAATAAACCAATGAGAGGAACATGGGGGAAGAGGGGAAAATACGGGGCAAAGAAAAGAAAAACTGTAGAGATTTCACAAAGGCAAAGCAATCACCACCAGCTGAGCCTCCTCCGTGGCACGTAGGCCGAACGAGAGGCCTACGGACCAACTCCTCCCTCAGCACCGAGTTCTGCGCCCTGGCCGGCCTTCACAGGCGTTTTGGAAAGGAAAACGCCTGGAGAGCAGAGGAAACGCCGGTCACGCGCTTCTGGGAACTGAGCCGAGCTGCCATTCCTCCCAGCCTGACGCTGTCGGTCAGCCACACGATCAAATAAAAAAGTCAACCAAGAAACTCCATGTACACAATTTTCTTTTCTTTTTTTTTTTTTTTTACACGTTTATTTTAATTTATTATTTTTAATTTTGTGCGTGTGCCTGCGTGGCCTGTCGTAGGTAGTGAACAGCTGTAGCGTGCGTGACTGTATGGTAATAAAAGCAACATGGGCTCAAAGTATATCTCATTCCCTTGGCAGGGTGAAGGGCGGAGGTGGGAGGAATCCAGTGGTGCTGCCTACAGGTCGCAAGAATTCACAGATGCTGGTCAGATCAAGATATCCACTTTTCCCATCCGACCACAGACCCTTCTCCAGAGTGTTTTAAAATCACTGGCACTGAAATCATTCCTGGTAGAACTGGATGAGCAGGGAAATGCTGATTCACTGTTATCTGTGACCAAGTTCGTTAACCTGTACCCAGGTTTGTAGGTCCTTATTTTTCATGGGCATTAGGAACTGCTGCCCATGCTAGAACCAGATGCTTTAGATATAGGCATAAGTGCCCCATAGTTGCGGAATAATCGGCCTGTGGGGATATTTTTCATTGTCCTCCGATAGAGGTTCGTTCATACTCTGAACCATGGGGAGTTTATATTGCTTCTAAAATGCGTGGCTATTTTGATGTCTCCACAGGGTAATCGTGTTAGCTAATATCTGCAAAAACAACAAGGAGTCCTGTAGCGCCTTGGGGTGTGTCTAGACTACATGCCTCCGTCGACGGAGGCATGCAGATTAGACAGATCGGCAGAGGGAAATGATTAAAATAATCGCGGCTTCCTTTAAATTTAAATGGCTGCCCCGCTCTGCTGATCAGCTGTTTGTCGGCAGATCGGGGCAGTCTGGACGCGCCGCGTCGACAAAGAAGCCTTTCTTGATCGGCACAGGTAAACCTGGTTTCACGAGGCTTACCTGTGTCGATGAAGAAAGGCTTCTTTGTCGGGGCATCG